TGATTCTGCTCACCAGAACAAATTCAATAAGTTGTAGTTGTTCCGGTGACTAGTGTCCCTTTTTAAATGGCACTGCTTGACAAGGTTTGTTAAACCCTTTGAGACTTTGTGTGAAAGTGATGCACCACCAAAATGATTTTGCTTCTAGGGCTTATACTAATTGTTAACCAATATTAATTACACTTTCTTTTCAAATTGGAAGGGGTAATGTCAAAATAGAAGGTGGCATTGATTACTTCCTTCTTAGAGGAAGGATGAAATCGTACAATAGAGCTTACTCAAATGCTCTATCACAAAGACTTGGTTGCCCTACCAACGATTAAAACAATATCACGTTAGTCCCTTCAGACTAGAACACCTGTGATATCTGCAACATGTTAGCTATGTGGTGATTGCATCCCAAGATAAGCAGGTTTTGGATAAAAGTTTACAATTATGGGAAAATAGGAATTACTGTCTTTTGTGTCAGTGACTCATCACCTCCATCATACAATCGATAACATGTTTGCTAAATGCATCCAAAGCAATGATCCCACTATTTTTGGGAGGGAAAAAACAACCACTTTCATTGGCAGAATAGCCAAACTGGAATAAGTCAGCTATGCTTTTAGTTTAGCTGTTATGGCCTCAAAATTTGAAATTCAGTTTTAATTCTCATTTGACTGACCTTAAGTGTCCACATTTAATTCTCTCCCCAAAAGATGACATGCTGCTTGATGTGTGGAATTGAACAGAAGATTTAAATACTTGAAGCTCTCCTTGTGGGAGCCACCATCTTCTATCTTCAGCTCCTGGCATTTTATCTGTTAGACATCTGTCTCACAGTTGTACTCTTGTACTTACGAGTACAACGCTGAAGTTTATGAACAATCCCACGAACATATGAGCCACTCTAGAGCAACTTGCATGATGTGCAAAATCTATCTTTCGGCACAACTATCATTAACTTGTTTACGGTTTAACTTAACTTTCAGTAAAAACTTACTGACAAGCAAAATACTGCTGTATGTGTTATGACTAAAGTAGAAAACCAACAAACTGATTTCTAAAAACGCTCATTGTGCCATAAAATACGCATGTTGAGTAAGGTTAGAAGTACTTAAGACTATCACGATTCGATTCCCTTCCTGGTTTAGTGACAGCTCACCGAAGAAGCATTTAAGCTGTGATTACCAACTTCAGCCTTTTGTGTGCCGTTAATTTGATTCAGAGCATCTATTCATTAATGCTTTACATGCTGTTTGATCTCTTCTTTTTACTTTAAGAAAAAAAATGAACTCTTGATCCAAGGTACAAGAATTGACATCTGTAAAATATTGGTTAATACATTTTTGTTTGTCTTTAGATGGTTGGGAATAAAATTGTCCTTTTGTCGAGAGAACCAAAATGGTGTATATTTCTTCAATAATTCTAGCTCATCCCTACATTTTTTGACTCCTAAAAAATCCTGATCGCATTGCTATCTAGCTTCTGCATCTTGTAACATTATTTTGAAAATGTTTGTCTATTGGTTTTATTTCCTGAACACTGCCACCAGTGGAAATTAATTGAAAGAGCACAGGCATGTGTACAAGTTTTCTGTTCTTTCTTCACCAATCCAATAAGAAAAGTAAGAATAAGGACTGTAACTAAACATGAGGAGTCAATTTACATAATGAAAAACACTTGTACTCAAAAATAGGGAGTGTGCTTACTGGGAGTACTACGACTATAAAGACGAGCACATACAAGAGCAAACCTTAATAAATTGTAATATTAAATATTCTAAGTTGGGGTAGCTTAGATCACTAATCCTATCTGCATTTTATTTTATTCACTGCTGTGATTACTAAATTAAAGATTAAGTTGTATGCCTTGGTATAGG